AGAGACAGAGAGAGAATGTGTGTGTGTGAAAGAGAGACAGAGACAGAAAAGAATGTGTGTGTATGAGAGAGAAAGAAACAGACAGAAAGAGACAGAGAGAAAGTGTGTGTGTGTGTGTGTGTGTGTGTGTGTGTGTGTATCAAAGGTCTCCTTTGGGAGCTCATCAGGATTACTCTGAGTACGTCTCTGAGCTATTTTGTGTGATTGTACATAGGTGTCTGACCGTTTGTCCTTCTCTGCCCCCCGGCCCATGCAGGTGTTCTTTCTGAGCATTTAACAAAAAGATGCAACATCAACGAGAACCCATCGAAGGGCAAACTGAGTTCAGCTCTTCATAACAGTGACCTGGAACAGAAAAAGCCAAGGAGAAAGGACACACCTGCTCTACACATGCCACCTTTTGCAGCAGGTAAAAGAGCAGGGTCAGGGCATTTGAAAAGTGAAAAACAGCACCTAGTCAACAGCTGCACCATCTGGAGGGGACAGAGACCCCGCCTTCACCTGGGGCTGCAGGGGCAGAGGTCAGGGCTAACACCTACAGAGCCTTTCTACTCCTTGTTGATTTGTGATGGACAGCAACCTGGTCTTGACTTTCTCTCCGCTTTTACACGGGCTTTGGCCAAAGCTAACTAGGATCTTCTCGTGGTAGAGAAAGCTGGGCACTTGTAAAGCTGCTTATGAAAAAAATCCATATACCGATACACACATATGTCATGCAACACACATGTATACACACGTGTATACATGTAATGTATGTGTGTGTTCATGAGCAGCTTTACAAACTGCCCACCTTTCTATAATATGAGAAGCTAATATATATATGATATATGTATATATACACACACCTACATGCAAAAATATATGTTTATACTATATATACATGCATACATATATACTATTATTGTTGTTATTGTTTAGTCATTTTTCAGTTATGTCCAACTCGTTGTAACGCCATGTGGGGTTTTCTTGGCAATGATACTAGAGTGGTTTGCTATCTACTTCTCTAGCTTTCTTTACAGAGGAGAAACTGAGGCAGACAGGGTTAAGTTAATTTCCTAGTGTCACATAGCTAGTAAGTGTCTGAGGCCACATTTGAACTCAGGTCTTCCTGACTCCAGGCTCAATGATCTATCCACTGCAGTACTACCTAGCTGCCCTGTACATACCATTCCTATTACTACGAAGAGCAATGGAATAAATACAAAGCTTTGAGATTTGCCAGTGATTTACATATTATTTTTAGTTGACCTTTTTACACGTTATCTCACTATCTGCAAAGGACCCAGCACTGATCCTCCCAAGTTCCCATGGTTTATAGCTACACAGATTACCTGTCTACCAATAAATCTTTATTGATCCATGTACGGGGCACTGTGTCAGGATCTTCTGGGAAGGGGAAGGCAGGGGATCACAGACTCGTTTAGAGCAAGCCCTTTTTACAGGTGAAGTAACTGAGGTCCAGAGTCACACAGCTAGTGTCTGAGGCAGGATTGGAAACCCCATTTCTTGACTCCAAGTCCAGTGTCTATCCACTATGCCATGCTGCCTCTAGGGCAGTTAAGTGACTTGCTTAGGGTCACACAGCTAGAAGGTATCAGGGACAGGACTTGAACCCATATGTTCATGACCCCAAACCCAACACTCCTTCTACTCACCATGAAGTCTATTCTTGTCCTTCATCTTCATCTCTATGTTGTCACAACTTTGGATTCTGCCCCTAGTATGGCAGGCTCTGACCAGTGAACTTTTGCCTTACCTTGCCCCGAGCCAAGCACCCATAACACCAGCCTTCCCCACATCATGCTGTCATAAGAGGTGCATAACCCTTCCCACTTCCCATATCTTCCCTTAATGTGTTTTCTTCCCTCATTAGAATGCAAGCTCCTTGAGGGTAAAAACTGTCTTATTTACTTATATTTGTATTCCCAGCACTTAGCAGAATAACTAGCACATAATAAAGGTTCTCTACCCACTCTTCTCTTTGTGTCTCTCTCTCTTCTCTCTCTCTTCTTTCTCTGTCTTTGTCTCTCTTTTCTCTCTGAAATTCTCTTTCTTTGACTCTCTGTCCCTGTCTCACTCTCTATGTGTATGTGTGCATGTATCTATCTATATATTAAACCCAATGTTTTATTTAGAGATTCTATAGTGAGGATATTATAGGACTGAAGGCATCAGTACCTTGTAATACAGGCAGGAGTGATTGCAGGTTCCCTGTCAAAAGTTCAGTTTAAAACATATAGGGACACCCACGTAGATGATATTTCCCACTTATCTTAGCAATTCAGAACTGCAACCAATAACAGTATGTTTCACTTATTCCCAATACAACACTTCATGTAGAAATCAGCTGCAGAAAATTAATTCAACTCAGAGGCTCAGACATAGATCTGGAGGGGTCCTTGTTTGACACGACTTCCTTTTTTACAGATGAAGACATGAAGACTCAGAAAGATCAAGTGATTTGGCCAGGGTCCCATAGACCATCTCAGAGGAGGGATGGGAGCCCTGGTTTTTCCAACTCTATCCACTATGCAACACTAACACCCCAATTCAATCTAATTCGATTCAGTTCAGTTCAATGTACCAAGGACAGGTTGGTCCCTTTAATTCACTCTTACAGCACTGAAGGCCTATTTGAAATAGCTGTTTAAATGTCTCCTAGAGGAATAGGGAAGTAAAGTCACTCCATTCCTTTAATTTACACCACACTGGAGCCTGTTCTTGGCTGATAGATTTCTCAAGGTTTTGTGGGTTGAAGTCAAAATTCTGAACAGTAGAGATTGATGAAAGGGGGTTTATGGTGTTATTATGGGTGGTTTGTCTGTTTTAGGATTTGTAGGATACTGTAATAGAGGTTCTTGTTCAAATCCAGACTGAACTATATGGACACTAGGTTGGATTGAGTAGCCACTGAGGTCCCTTTCAGCTGAAAGACTCTCTGGGTCTGTGACCTTCAGCCAGACGGCCTCTGACACCTGACACTCACCAATACCAAACCAAGCTCCTTTTCTCTCCCTCACATCTTTCCTCCTCCTGACTTCAGTCTTTCTGCTTATGGCTGCACTGTTCATTTAGTCTCCCATGTTGCTATCCTTGAGATGCCTTTTGGCTCTTCGTTTTTCTTCATCTCTTGTATCCAATCAATTACTGGGTCTTGTCACTTCTACTCTCACCCCATCTCTTTCATCCTTCCCCTTCCCTCCATTCCCACTGCCTTCCCCACACCCCATCCCTACTATAAATTCTTGGTACCATTTTACTATTGCATTAGCCTCTGAACAGATCTTACCACCTTCATCTCCTCCCTCCAATTCATCCTTCATTTAACTGCTAGAACCATATTTCTCTATTTCTCACTTTCAGGTCACTCCTGAGCTCAAAAAGCTTCACTGGCTCCCTATTGCCTACTGAAAAGTACTGAAACTCTTTGAGTTGGAATTGAGAGCTCTCAGCAGTCTGCTGCCTCCTAGCCTTTCTAGCATCGCTGAGTATTGCTGCCCTTGCCCTCTCTATGAATAGGGAGTGTACTTGTGATTACAGTGGTAAAGGGAATTCCCTTTGCCCATGCAAGTCTGCACCTTCTCTTTTTAAAAAAAATATTTATTTTATTTTTAATCTATGGAATAAAACAAGTATTTCCATAGCATTGTATAATTTTAAAAAAAACAAAGAAAAATTGCACATGAAACTGCAAATCTATTGTGTACAACTTGCTATTCCTTTTAAACACAGAAAACATTCATGTAAATTTCTTTTTTTTCTCCTTTTTTTCTTCCCTCTTTTCCTCTCCCACCCTAGAGAAGGCTACCATTAGACACAAATGTGTGTGTGTGCGTATATATATATATATACACATATACATATATATTTTATATAATATGTATAATATACACATACATACATATATACATATATGTAAAATTATTCTATGCATACTTTTATTTATCAGTTCTTTCTCTGGGTGGAGATAGCATCCTCCGTCCTATGTTCTTTGTAGCTAATTTGGGTATTTATAATAGTCAAAATAACTTAGCTGCTCAATGTTGTTCTTAGAACATTATTGTTGTTACTATATACAATGTTCTCTTGGTTCTGCTCATTTCACTCTTCATCATTTCATGCAAGTCTCTCCATGCTTTTCGAAGATCATCGAGCCCATCATTTCCTACAGCACAGTAGTGTTCCGTCACAATCATACACCACAACTTGTTCCACCATTACTCAATTGATGGGAATCCCTGCAATTTCCAGTTCTTTGCCACCACAAAGAGAGCAGCTATAAATATTTTAGAACACATAGGTTCTTTTCCCTAATCATCTTTGGGAGAAGACCATTCCTATATATCACAAACAAAACCCTGCAAGAAGAGATAGTAAGAGATAGATCATTTAAAATAACTCTAGACAACACAAAATACCTGGAAGTACATCTGCCAAAAACAAGCCCAGGAACTATATAAACAAAATTATAAAAAAAAACTTTTTATGCAAATAAAATCAGATTTAAATAATTGGAGAAATATTAATTATTCATGGAAGGCAGGACCAATATAATAAAAATGAAAATGTTACTTAAACTAATTTATATATTCAATGCTATCCTAGTTAAATTACCAAAAATTATTTTACTGAATTAGAAAAAAAATAATAACAAAATTCATTTGTAAGAACAAAAAGTCAAGAATATCAAAGGAACTAAAGGAAAAAAAATGTAAAGAAAGGAGGTTTAGCAGTACCAGATCTTAAACTATATTATAAGGCAATAATTATCAAAACTATCTGGTACTGCCTAAGAAATAGCAAAGTAGATCAATGAAACAGAGTAGAAGTACAATTTACAGCAGTAAATAAATATAGTAACCTTGCACCTTCTCTTCAACTTAAGAGTCTCAGTAAGTTGCCTGGGGCACTGAGAGTTTAGGTGACTTGTCCAGAGTCACACAGCCAGGAGGTGTCAAAGACAGGACTTGAATCCTAGGCTTCCAGGCCAGTTCTTTCACCCACATTACAAGCCCTAATAGGCTTCCTCTCCAGCAAAGAAGGCCCAGAATAAATGTTTGTTGGATGAATGAAGACATAAATGAATGTCAAAAAAGATAAGAAATGGCACATCAATTACATCTCCTACTCCTAGGGCAGCTTCAAACTTTCAGAATCCTTTCCTCCCTTCATCTCATTTGATCTTCACAACTCCCCCTGAGATCAGTGTTAGTATCCCCATTTTATTGATGAGGAAATGGAGGCTCAGAGAGGATTGGCAGTCAAAGGCAGCTAGGTGGCACCATAGTGCACAGAGCACTGGGCTCTTGAGTTCAACACTTGAGTTCAAATCCAGCCTCAGACATTTACTAGCTGTGGGACCCTAGGAAAATCATTTAATTTTGCTTACCTCTGTTTGCTTCGGTTTCCTAATCTGTAAAGTGGGGATAATATTAGCACTCCCCTCCCAGGATTGTTGTGAGGATGAAATGAGATAATAATTATAAAGTGCTTACTGCATGTGGTGTTTGGCACGTAGTAGGAGCTATATAAACGCCAGTTATTGTTATTACAAAAACACGGGTCTCCCCTGATTCCCAGACTAGGACTATTCTCTTCTACCTTGACTTCTACTTGAAATCACCCTTTTCCAC